CCCAGGGCATAAAGAGTTTCACAGATATTCAGTCTTATTTCTCCCTCATCTTTGCAAAATGATTGTCTGTCAAAAAGGAATAAACATGCAGTTTGGGCTTTTGCCTCAATTACTCTATAACGAGTCTTTACCTTTCCAGGCCTCTTCCTTCCCCTCTCCTCCTCCTCGGCGCTGCATCCTGAGGGCCTGTGAGTACCCACACCGGACATTAGACTGAAATCTTACTGGTCACTTGTGCTGTTTCTTAGCCGGTCACCCACCTGGCCACCTCAGGGTGGTCTCAGTTCCTCCAATGGGCTCGTTCCCCACGTCCAGTGACAAGCATGTCATTCCGGTCCTGTGTCGGGCACCTCGCTCCTGCTCCCACAGCCACCTGCCCCGGCCACCGTCGCTGCAGCCAGTAGCGGGACCTCGGAGCCCCCCGTCACAGTTCAGAGCTGGGCTCCACCCCTCACTAGCCGGCGGCCTTGTTAGCCTTAGTCGTTTGTCTTTAACTGACGTCTGTTATGTGATTAGATGTCTCAACATTTGCAAAGCAGCAAAATAGTGCTGGTTACATAGTAAAAACTACGTAAGTACTTGGTATAAAAAAATAGAACAACCCTCTCACAAAATGAAAAGCTGAGAAATACTGTCCGTTGTGGACAGAATGAGAAATAAAAGATAAGCATGTTACAGAAAGCTGGAAACAGAACCAGCTGAAAACGCCCACATAATAACACGCCGGGTGGAAGCGGGCTGGGCTAAGTGAGCTAAATTCTCACGCACCATAGAGGCAGCCACAGTCAATGTCCAAACCCGACAACCAGGAGACACGCGCTTACAGATTCCGGATGTGAAGGTGACTCCCAGAACCATCAGCCACTAGAGCAGGGCAGCTGTCTGTGAGGCGGGATATTAGAAAGGCGGAGAACAGGGCAGGGAGTTCCTTGTCATTAGGAACCCTTCTGTACTGCTTAAACTTTTGACTATGTCCGTGCATTACTTTGATAAAATAAAATAAAAACATTTTAAAATAATTGCAAGGAAATAATCAAATGGGAAGTACTTGTTATGGTCTTCAAATACTTTCAATTTATCTTTAAAATTCTGAGACTGAGGACATGGTGCGGCTGGGCCCAGAGAGCTCCCATGGACACCCACCCTAGGAAGGCGCCTACCCCGTCGCTTGCTTTATGAAGCTGGGACATTATGGGAGGCCCATGTCTGGGATCAGGCTCCATTTCTCAGTAACCGTGAGGTCTTAGCCAAGACAGCCAATTTCTCCCTGGCTCAGTGTCTCGCCGATTAAATTATAGTGACAGTATTTGTCCCAGTGTACTGTTATATCAGGTACCTAGAAAGGAATAAAATCCTATGGAAACATAATCACAGTGGAGGAATTTCCTAGTCAAGAGAGACAATATGTGACAATATCCTTCTTCAACCAACTAAGGGTACATCTTCCAGGCATTTCTTATTAATAATAATTCATAATTACATATGAGCTCAGAAGTCCTTCGAAGAACACTCCCAAGGTGACTTCTGTTTCTGGAACATGTTTCCTTCACTGTTTCAAATCCTGTGCAGTTGGCTTGTTGACGCCGCGGACTCATCCACTGGCCTGTGAGCTCCTGGAGGGCAGGGCGGCATTTTCCTTGTCTTGCTATATATATCCTAAGCTCACCACAGTGCCTGTCCTGTGCAAAGTACCAAAAAATGTTTGCTGAACTGAACCCATTTCAAATAAAGTTTATCTTGTGTTTTATATAACTCTAGAAATAAAAAAGAGTGGAATAAAGGAAATCATATAAAATATCCTTTCTCCCATTTATCCAACAAATATTAATTGACACCCCTCCCCCCACACAGGCTCTGCTAGGCACTGGGCACCTGACATAAATAACATAAGCAAGCCCCCAAATTAGAAAACATACATGCGCCCCTATGTTCATTGCAGCATTATGCACAGCGGCCAAGACATAGAGACAACCGAAATGTCCTTCAAGGGAGGCAGTGCACAGATGTGATGGAACCCTACCTGGCCGTTAAAAAGATGAAATACTGCCGTTTGCAAGAGATTGGCTAAATCCTGAGAGCACTGTGCTAAGTGAAATTAGACAGAAAAGGACAAGCACCATGTGATTTCGCTTAGCTGTGGGATATAAAACAAAAAGCAACACACTAACAAAACAAAAAAGAAACGAAAAGACAGAAAATAGAAGGGTGGTTACCACGGGGAAGAGGGAGTGAGGGAAGGATGGAGAGGGTAAGAGGTCAAGCACGTGGCGAGGAGAGACTCGGCTCTGGTGGTGGCCACACGGTCAAGTTCACAGGTGTCGTATCACAAAAATGTACACCTGAAATGTATGTAATGTTGTTAGCCAAGGTGGCCCCAACGCATGCAATGAAGGCCTATGACAAAGAAAAAATAAAGTAATGCACACGAGCAGCTTCTAGTCTGACTGCAGGGGGCAGTGTGGAGCACAGTGGGCAAGGGAGCGATTTCAATACAAATTGTTAAATTTCAGGTTAAAGGTGCCATAGACACGCAGGGGAGTGGCTGCAGCCATTAAAAAAATTAGATAGGTATAGATAGATAGATGATAGATAGATAGATAGATAGATAGATAGATAGATAGATAGATGATAGATAGATGATAGATAGATAGATGATAGATATAGAGAGATCTGTTTCTTAGATCATTTCTTTGAACTGAAGTCCAATAAACCTCAGGGGTACAGTTAGTAGACCCAGTTCCTACCTAAACGAATTCAGAGCCTCCAGTCAGTTAGTCCAAAGTCACGCACGCTCTGGTTGAAGCCTCCTGGCATCCATGCGCCACCTTAGCTAATGTGATAAGCTAGTAAGACTCACACCCGCACTCCTCTACATCACATCATTATCACCTCATGAAAACCTCCAAGGTCTGGGGGACACCCGGGAAACACAAACACATATTACAACCAGGGGACCTCCCTTTCTGTCTCCTGTGACTTTGCCGTTTCACCCTCATGAAGCAAGTGTTTCACTCTCGGTGTTTGTTTCCTTAAGGCCAGCCCTGAACATGATTGTGGGCAAATGGCAGTGAGAACAGAAAGGAGACCCCACCTTTTGCCAGGAGGCAGCTTTCAAAGGGTCTCCACCCCGGTTCACTGGTTGGACAACTAGAAGTGAGCTGCCCTCAGTGACCTTCTGAAGACCTTGAAATTGCTGAGGACTGGACAACAGTCAGTACCTTTTCCTCCCTTCAGACTCTCAAGGCCTGGCCGGTTCTTACTGTGAAGAGGCCGGTGCGCTGGATGCACCCATCCCCAGCTGCTGGGAGAGCAGAGCCGCGCATGGACCAAATCAGCACCTTAAGGACGATGCATGAGAGCATGAGTCCGGGTGTTCGGTGGCCAGATGAACCTCTAATGAACTTTACTGCGAACTGTGATCACATTCAAGAAATGTTGCAGGTGACAGGGTTAGGGTGTTAAGAGCAGGAAAGCGTGACCTGGATGATAACTAGTCGTGACCATTGCAGGAAGCACAGAGGGGCGGTGAGATCGTCGCCCAATGCGAAGACCATTGATTTTTATTTGAATAAAGTATCTTTTCCCCAGTCTAACCTTTGCTACGCTGACAAATAAAAGAACTGATGAGCCTCTCTTTTTCTCCTTCCTTAGGAGATCAAACAAAACACAGAGAGAAAGAACATGCTCGAGGCCCAAAGACAGTGCAGCCACGGAAGGACCCAACCTCAGTGGGAGCCCAAGGACGGCCGGGTTTCCTCCTTGTTCCAGGAGGGGACTCCTCGAGGAAGGTAGGCTGAAAGGGATCTTGAACTGTCGCCACTGTCACAGGGGTCACTATGACCCACAGGGAGAGCACCTAAGAATGGCGAACACGGCGTCCGTCTCTGGTAAACGCTGCCCCAGGTCTCTCCCATCGTGGTACCATCAGAGGGAGACACCACTGGGACAGACACAGAGCATAAATGACACAGTGGCTGTCCCCATATGCAATGAATGGACTCTGGGATGATTCTTAGTAATAAATATTTATTCATTAGAGCAGCTGGATGAATAAGGAAGACATGAAAAGTAAAAACACAGGAAATAATTTGACACAGGCTGTACTTTCAGAAAAAGTGCGTATAATTTAATTGGTCCATGAGCTCGTAAGGAGGAATCGGCTGGCTGGCCCCGGACCGGACAAGGCCACTACCTCCTTGTCACGGCTGTTCTGGTGGGTTGCTGGGCTCCCGTGGGCTTGGTCTGGTTTGTGATTTTTTTGTTGGACTTGTCCATGGTTTCCACCGCTTTTTTCACCCATTCGACTTGTGGATCAGCACAGACTTTAAATCCACGTCTGGTAATAAATCTACAATGTAAGGAAAAGACAGACAAAGTAAGTCACATCCTCAAAGCCTTGGGGCCAGCAGTTCAGATCGGACCAACTATAAGAGCACTTGCAGAAATTACTAGACAGAACAGCCTTTCAGAACCAGGAGCCCAGGAGTGAAAAGCTTTCTTCTACAATCTGTTTTAACACGAAGGAGAAATGTCTCCAGGTGACGCCCGGCTCCTCTGTTCACCATAATCCCCAGGCTCCATTTCTCATCAGTGCCATCAAATGTTGTAACTACGCTAGACCTGTGCCGTCACCTGGCCCAGTTGTCACATATCGCCTTCCTTTTCAAATCTAAATGTACTCATCTCACTTTCTGAACAAAAGGTGATTTCTTTATCTTAATTTCTTTGGGCAAAGTTGTAGTTATGCTGGGAAGAGGTGCTGTTCTGAAAAGAGATCCTGGAAAGAGAATAGTACCATGTAGGCTAGTTTTTGACATATTTTCTTGAGATATGACAACAGAAAAAACATTGCACCCATGCTCCAACACACCTCATGAAGGGGACGGGAGCGGAGGGGAGGGGAGGGGAGGGCTTCACATGGGCTGAACCAGCCATCTCTAACCCTAACTCTCAGAGCTGAGCACAGTATCCTCTGGTTTCGGTCAGTCTCCTGCTAGACTAAATCAGAAAGGAGGCTATTCTCTGTGCGGTTGCCACATCTCTGCTACAATCGTTATTTGGCGCTTCATTATCAAGTGGAGGTCTCGGCCCATGTGGACCAGTTTTCCTGAGGAGGCAGCCAGCCCGGCTCGGGGGAGACACTCACATGACTGCTTTCATGGGCCCCTCCTTGATGGTGTAGGTCTTGATGTTTTTCACGGGCAGCCGCCGGGTAGTCAGACTCACACAGATTTTCTGTTCCAGGGCCTCACTCCCCACACCTGGTGAAGCAAAGAAAAGACAAAATGTAGTTTCAAATAGAACAAATGGCAGTGTTACAAAGAAAATAACAGAGAATGACGGGATGACCAGTAGTTCGAGGAAGGCGACATTAAATGCTGGGCACGGCTTGTTTTTGACGGAATAAGTGAAGGTGATCTCGTTCAAATGGTGAAATGTGAGATGCAGAAAGGAGGTGGCCCACAGAGTATTCGTCCTAAACAGATGTGGCCCACGGGGAGCTTAACGGCTCATTTAGGGGCCGTCACCTCGGAGAAGGGGAAGGACTTGGGAGAGTTAAGAATGTTAAGGGTTTGATGGGATCGGATCAGGGTTCCTAGGTGCTGGCTTTCTCCTAAGCTGAGGAGACTGGTGTTTGCTTCCCAGGGAAATACTCAGCTAAGAAGCACCTTAAGTGACAGCTGATGGTGGTCAGGTTTGATCTGTAGTGTTGCTGATACCAGGGGGCTTTTTATAACGTGAAACCAGATGCAAGGTGCCGCTCCCTTGCCCCTCTCCGCCTCTCCTTCCCATCGCTTCCAGATCGTTCTTTACCCGCTTTCCCGGCCCGTTTACCGTTAATGCTGACCTGTCTGCGAACCCAGTGGAAGAGGGAAGCCTGCTTTTGCTGTTTCTCTCACCACTTAGGAAACAAGTTTTCTCTGGGGAATATCCCACATGGGCTCCCAAGACCCAGAGAGTCCCAGCGGCCTCTAAATCCCCAACCCTTCTCCCTCTCGGCCACGTCTGTGTGTGTGTGATCGGGTGAGACGTCACCTTCGGCAGCGCTGGGTGGAAACCCAGGCTGCAGCTTGCCTTGCCCGCTGCGGTGCGTAAGCAGCCAAGCGCAGAGGCGCTTGCGGAGCTCATGCAAGTAGAAGACTTGCAATCCGAGCCAAGGGTCTGCGGTCCCCCTCCGTCTCTAACAGAGACGTGCCCCTACCCACACCTGGGTCTCCAACAAATGGCATGTCTACCGCGTCAGCAAAATGCCAGCCACGTTGCAACACTTGGCCGCATTTAGTAGTCTTAAACTTTTTTTGATCTTGTCAATCTCATCAATAGTTTTTATTCTGCTCACAGTTTCAGGGAGTTTCAGACTTAGCCACCTCTATTCATGGACACCCTTGGGGATCTGTGATCAGGCTCAGACAGTCTAGTCTAAGTAATAAGTCTACAAATTAGGAGGTTGAGAGAAGAGCTAACTGCAACATTAAGTACACCCAAAGGATAATCTCTCTTGTTCCAGAGCCACAAACTTGATTATGGAGTATTTTATGGAATTTATTGCAGAAATAAACTCCAACCAGTTGGAGAAAATAATCCTGTCGGAAATATGGGTAGAGAGCTCAGGTGAGGCTCAGTATATCCAAGTCCCATCTGGGTGTCTCCCGCAGGTTTGTTTGACTGTGTATAAGGCACTGATCTATTTGTTAGCACTTATCACATGGACTCATAAGCTCAAGAATTTATCATAAATGGGAGCAACATTCAGAACAGTAATCGTAAATTCTCCCACATACTTGAAGGTAATTCTGATTTCCTTGTAGGAAGGTATAAGCTTCCAGTCTTTTCTTTTTTAATAAAAAACACTGATTTGTTTCAGAACATGCACCCTCTAGCTTGTCCCCACATTGTGACTGAACTCTCAAAACCTTTGAGACTTTTTCAAGATCGGTACTACATGGGCAATAGCTGCAAAGGCACATATGACCATGGTCACCACAGCCCCACAGCTAACGTCAACCAAGAAATCACTACTAGCGAGGAGATCTGATAAGCGATCCTAAGCTTTAATTCATTTTAATCTCAAGTGAGAATATCTATTATTACAGTCAACCTAGAGATAACCAAGTGCAGGCCCAGAGAGATAAAGAAGTTTACCCCAAATTACCCAGTTATGAAAAGTAGGAGCCCAGAGTCTGACCAAGTTCTGTCTTTGGAATCGACAAGGTCCCCTCGAGTCAAAATTCTCATCCCCACTTTGCACCCGGGAGGCCTGAGGCTGACCTTGGGGAAAGCAGTGTACTCCCGTCTAAAAATGAGTCCCAACCAGACGGCGGACACCTGCCTGCACGTCCGCCCCTAGGCCCACAGACAGCCTTGCGACTCACCTTCCACCACGTGCGCGGCGAGGCAGCAGACGCCGAGGAGGGCCAGGAGGAGCGGTCTCATGCTGGGGTCCCGTGAGCTGAGCCTGAGGACGAACCTGGGGACGAGCCTGGGGATGAGCTCTTGCCGCTCGCCAGCCCCTTTTATCCCCTGGGTCAGGCTTCCTGTGGGACCAGGGCCTTCCGAGGTGGGCGTGCGCTCGTGGAAAGTCTTTGCAATGCTGAGGCTTTTTTTCTTTGTTAAAGTTCCCCAGCTCGTACTCGCCCCACACCCTGAGGCCTTTCCTCTTCAGCTGTGGTTAATGTGTCAATGAAAGCAAGTGTACCTGTAACGCTGATGCGGTTTCTCATATGCCACCAGCCTGAATTCAAATCTTCCGCTGCTCCACAGGCATGCCGAAGCGTGTCACTGTCCCCAGCATGCAACAGTGTAAAGGAAAGGTGGTCGCTGTGGTCCTGCTCCCCTGCCCGCCTCGTGTGACACCCGCCGTAACATGAGGCTTCCACCACCATAGGCACGAGCCCCTGGAGCCATCCACGGTGACTCCCTTCCGGAGGGGAAGGGACGCGGCCGCCGCTCGGAACTTCTCATTCCTTTGCCTTTTTCTTCTCATTTCCGCCACTTCTTCCTACCACCCTCCCCGGGTACTCAGGTGACATTTAAGTTACAACATCTGGAGCACGTCTAGGTCATGCTTTATGGTAACTTAACACACCCCCTTGAAAAAGCTTAGGAGAAGCGGCCCTGGCCCGGGTGTTATTTCGGAGAGAGAGGGAAGGGGGCATAATTTACGGTTCCGACGGTTTCATCGCTGATGCTTTCCCGTGAGTCCCAGTGGTGTCCACCTGCCTGCACAGCTGCTACAATTACAAATACTATTTACCATCAGTGTATCTATCTTCCCAGGTTTTTCACAGTCTCAGAAGAAACACGCACAGACACGTTACACCATCCCCTTCTAATTTACTCTTGCATAGAGCCCATCTATATGGTAAATTTTCATTAATAGACACGGAATCATTTCCCTTTAATAGCCAGGACTGGGGTTACGGAGCAAAACCATACGCTCATCTTCGTAGGTCTTGCTCCACACGCCCAGTCTCCCCGAAATGAAGGGCAGCTTAAACGCGCAGCGCCTCCTGCGGGCTCTGAGATCCGTCGCACCACTAACTTTCTGGCACTCGGTTCGTCGTTAGCTACACACATAATTAAGAAATACATTTTATAGATACCTGTGTAAAAGAAAACAAGACAAAAACAACGTTACTATTAGGGATATGCAAATAAATGCCAATATTTCCATAAAAATGACAGGTTAACATCCAAAAGATTTTTCATTAACAGAATTTAATTTTCCAGCCAGACTTCCTTCTGACCTTCACAATGGCGTTCTAGTTATCTCTACCAGAGACAACTCTCCTCGACATGGAGCAGTGTGCTCTCTCCCACCCAATTTCCAAATACAGATACCTGGCCTCATCCGGCCTGTGCTGAGTACACCTTCTAAGTAGCTCCCAGTGTGTCGCCTCCTCTCCTTCCTCCCCGCTCAAGGCAGGCCTTCGTCACCCTTTGTTGGGACTAGTACAGTGGACCACCTGGTTCCCCGGTCCCCGGTCACCCGCCTTCCCAATCTATTCTCCATGACTCTGCCCAGGAATCACTCTAAAGCCTCAATCAGACCATTTCATTTCCGTCCTGAGAATTCCTTAGATCGTTCCCGTCGTCCACAGGTTCCGCTTCAGATCCCTCCTCGTATACAAGGTTGCTCAAGAGCTGACAGTGCTTCGCCCTCAGACTCACGTTCCACCACCAGCCACGGCTCCGAAACGTCCAGCCTGAACGAGCGTGTGCAGGTAACCAGCGTGTCATCGCCTTTCATACGCCCTCCACTTCCTTCACCTCAAAGCCATCCCAGCTCCGGACACAATTAACCCTAAAGTGCTCCACTTCCCACAAGCGTTCCTGAATCCTCTAGATGAAATCCATCCTCTGTCCCCATGAACTTCGTCTTCACTGTCCTGTCACCAACCTCATCCGATCCCCCTGCTCAATCACGTTTCTGCATCTCCCACTCAGTGGCGGCCCCTCGAGAGAAGGAAGGTGCCCTGTGCCCCCCGGGTCCCCGGAACCAACAGGATGTCTGCTATGTCGCAGTCGCTCCCCGTTTCTGAAGAAGGGAATTCTTCCTAAAGGACCAAAATTATGGCGACTGCACATTAAGTGAAGGATGAACATCTACAGACAGAAATCCCGGGTTGTGCCTGTGGCTTTCCCTTATTTTTTCAATACAACCAGCGATCTGACCAATGGCTACATTTTTATTTTAGCATCTTGAAATGCAATTTCTTTTTTTTCTTTTTTTAAATATATCTTTATTGATTTCAGAGAGAGGAGAGGAGAGGGAGAGAGAGAGATAGAAACATCAATGATGCGAAAGTCATTGATCGGCTGCAGCCCGCAACCCGGACATGTGCCCTGGCTGGGAATCGAACCCTGATCGCCTGGATCCTATGTTGATGCTCAACAGCTGAGCCACGCCCGGCTGGGCTTGAAATGCAATTTCTTAAACCCTTGGAATGAAATACTCGCTTTCAGTTTTTCAAAGCACGACTAGAGAAGGCTAAGTCGCAGACGAGAAAGCAGAGCCTAGTGCAGAATGGGAATATTTGGCTAACGTGTGGCACTGACTGGCAATAGCCGGCTGAGGGATAGCAGAGCAACTTCTTTCATCCCTGACTCCTCGCTTTCTCTTATAAGCCACATCTACTTGGTCAGCAAACACCCTTGGCTTTCTGTCTTCAAAACAGAATCTAAAGTCTTCTCACCACTGCAAGAGATCGGACCCCAGGCCACCACCACTCTCGCCTGAAAGAGTGGATTTGTGCAACCGCCTCTTACCTGGTTTTCCTGCTTCCAGTCAGTGTACCAACCTGCCGAGGTGGTCATTTCAACATGGAAGTCATATCATGTCACTTCTCTGCTCATAATCTTTCAACAGCTCCCCATTTTCATGTATTAAATCCAAAGTCCCCACTTTGGTTTATAACATATAACATTGTGTAAGTTTAAGAAGTTCAACATTATCATTTGTTACATGTATATATTGCAAAATTATTAACACAATTAGGTTAGTTAATACCTCCATCATCTCACATAATTACCTTTTTATGTGTGTGGTGAGAACATTTAGGATCTACTCTCTTAGTAACCTTCAAGCATATAATACAGTATTGTTAACGATAGTCGCTGTGCTGTACATTAGATCCCCAGAAACTATTCACCTTATCACTGTAAGTTTGGGCCTTCTGACCAGCATCTCCCCACCTCTCCCCCTCCCCAACCCCTGACAACCACCATTCTACTCTCTAGGTAATGGGTTTCACGTTTTTAGATTCTGCATATGTGATATCACACGGTGTCTTTCTCTGCTTTGTCTTAATTCACTTAAGGCCCTCTAGGTCCATCCCTATTATCATAAGTGGCAGGATTTCCTTTTTTATTTTAATCTTCACCCAAGAACATGTGTTTATTGATTTGAGAAAGTAAGAGAGAGAGAAACATCGTCTGAGAGACACCGATTGGTTGCTCCCATACGTGCCCCGACCAGGGATCGAACCCACCGCCCTTTAGCGTATGTGATGATGCTCCAATCACCTGAGCCACCCGGCCAGGGCTATTTTCTTTTATTGAATAATATTCCATCATGTACATGCATCACCTTTTTTCTATTCATCAACTGATGGATACTTAGGTGGTTTCCATACTTAGCCATTGTGACTAATGTTTCAGTGAACATGGAAGTGCTGATATCTCTTCGAGACAGTGACTTCATTTCCTTCAGACATATACCCAGGAGGAGGACTGCTGGGTCACATGGTAGTTCTATTTTTCATTTTGGGGGGAAGCTCCATACTGTTTTGCTAGTGGCTGCACCAAATTACATTCCTACCAGCAGTGCAGAGGGGTTTCCTTTCCTCCACATACTTGCCAACACTTGTTTCTTGTCTGCTTGATAACAGCCTCCTAAGAGGTGTGAGGTGCTATTTCACTGTGGTCTTGACTTTCATGTTCCTCCTAACTGCTGATGCTGAATGCCTTTTCAGTACTGTTGGCCCTCTGTATGTCTTTGGGGGGAAATTGAATATTCAGGTCCTCTGACCATTTTTACTGGATTGTTGTTGTAGTTCTGCTATTAATACTATATTTTAAAAAATATAAATAAGTGTGAGTGTATATATAGATATATATATAGATAGATATCTAGATATCTAGATAGATAGATATCTAGATATCTAGATAGATAGATAGATGATAGATAGATAGATAGATAGATAGATAGATAGATAGATAGATAGATAGATAGATAGAGATAGATAGATGATAGATAGATAGAGATATCCTCACCTGAGGATGTGTTTAGAGAGAGGAAGAAGGGACAAGGGAGGGAGAAACATTGATGTGAGAGAGAAACATCAATTGATTACCTCCCATATACACCCCCACCGTAGATCGAACCCGCAACATTTTTGGTGTGCAGGATGATGCTCTAACCAACTGAGCCACCATCCAGGGCCCTTACATATATATTTTTACGTTAACCCCTTATCAGAAAGATGGCAATGGCTTATAAATATTTCCTCCCATTCTGTAGACTGTCTTTTCTTTTTGTTGATTGCTTCCTTTATTATGCAAAGCTTTTTAGTTTGATAAAGTCCCACTTATTTATTTTTTCATTTGATGCCTGTGTTTTTGATGTCCTATCTAAAAAATCATCGCCAGGACCAGTGTCAAGGAGCTTTTGGTCTATGTTTTCTTCTAGGAGGTTTATGGTCTCAGGTCTTACAATTAAGTCTTTTAATCCATTTTGAACTAATTTTTGTGGGTGGTTTAAGATAGGGGTGGGTGCTGAACACAGCTGTGTCCAGACTAGAGCTGCCTTGGAGCAAGAAAGTTTGGAGACAGTTGGGTGGTGAATCAAGGCAGGTGGGACAGAGAGCTTGGTGCAAGGTGGAAATCCTGTGGGACTGTACATTTTCAGTTGAATTCCCAGCCTGGGGACAAGT